TGTCAGACAAGTTTTGTAAATTTCTTGTGAAATTTATGTTATTTTCTCTACATTCATACAAAGACAATGACAGGCTTTAGGCCTTTTTAGGGAGTTACAACATTTAAAAATCATTGTCAGTAATTATAAATGTGTAGAAAAGTACAACTACAACAAATAACAGACAGTACAGAGAATAAGCTGAGACTCTGCCTTATAGTCAAGAGGTCTCGGGATCAAATCCCTATAGCAGTCAGAGATGTTTTGGTAAAATTTGTTTGTTGTGTTTTACGTCCTATTAACAGCCATGGTCATTTAAGGAAGAGGAGGAAAGCCAGAGTTTCCAGAGAAAAAACTACCAACCTATGGCCAGTACCTGGCGAATGCCCACGTAGATCTCGAACCCGCGACCCAGTGGTGGAGGGCTAGTGGTAGCAGAATGTCAGATGCCTTCACCACTTGGCCACTGTGGCCCCGTTCTGGTAAAAAAAAAATGTATTTCTTTCCGATAAAAATCTTTGTCATTGCAAATCGGCAAGAATCTACAAATCAGAAAAATCGAAACTTACCCAAGAAATCTGGGACTCTCTACCTGAAGTGTCCATTAGTAAATAAAACATCAGAATCTTTCACACTCTTTGTGGCCCCAGCAGAGAGAATTAGATCGTGATTGATTGATGGGGCTTCCCGCCTTTGTTACACTTATAACTAAGCCTGGGACAAGGAATGATATTTATGATAACTTTTATTATGCTTTAAAATTGAAAGATCAATATATTTAGAGTCTTAAATATGAGACTGATACAAAATAAATTCCACTGACCTAATTTTATAATCCAGAGATTGAATCTAATACTCCCAATAGTGTGATCTCCTATATATATCGCAGCAATACACAATCATACTCAATTGATAAGAAAAACGTTTCCCCTGTCATAAATTTATCACAATGATTCAAATAGGCCAATAGATCAGCATGACACGGCCATAATCTGTAATAAAACTAATAACTGATAAAAACGCCTGTAGCATCCGACAGGTCTGCTGTCAGTCTTCATGGTAATGGGCATTCTTCTGCACGTGGGTCAGCCCTCAGGATTTCAAACAGTGACGAATAAAGTCGTAACTATTTTTTACCATTCCCCAAAGACCTAATTGAGAGAACTTGGGCCAATGGAAGTGCAATGCGGCCTGACAACCAGACAAGTGAATGCCTATATACAGAATCCATTTACAAGCAGACATCATCTTAGTTGTACCATACATGTTACTTTCACTTACTTGTCATACAACTGGCTTCCCGTTGATTCATTTGCAATCATTATTTATTTGGATGAGATCACCAGGTTTTCTGCCTCACAGCCATTCAATCTTAGGCCAAAAAAAGTAATTGTAATGTTTCCTATTCCCCTCTCCTACTATTTTGAGCTCAATAGTTACGGAGTGAAAGGCATCCTTTTCACATTTCCGATGGTACTGTGAAACATGGAATCTGTTTTAACAGAATTGTTGTATGCCTCTTAAATTTTACACTTTCTGTCAGGCGACACAAATAAATAAACTGCAAAGTACTTTAATTTACTGTTTTGTTCCCAAAATAATTTGCAGTTTTAATTTTGCATCGAAGGTTCTTAATATATACTTGGTTTATTTATGACCACATTCATATTGAAAAATATGTAATCGTACACATAACATACTATGAAAGAGGCCCTTTTGAATTATCAACATGACAACATGCCCTCACAAACATACTGAGCCACAAGGAGTATCCTTCAGGAGTGCAAATAAAATATTTGCATACAAGAAAGTTGTAACTTTTACCTTGCTCTATATAGAAAACAAATATTTTTTTGATTTTGCCTCAGACATCAAGATACAAGGATTTGTTTTTATTACAGCTATTGTGTTTTGTCATTAGAATGCGGACATAACTCCATATGGAATTGGAGACATTTACATCTCATACAGATAGGTTGTTTTAGACGGGTCGACATGGAAGCTGGAGGAAATGTCACATCACTAGTGCATGCAGTCATTGTCTAAAGCCATTCCAGACATAACAGTTCAAGCTATAGCTTGTTATCTTTGAAGTATTTGAATTAATAGGGTATTTTTCAATTTTAAACTTCCTTGGGGATTTTTTTAATCATGAATCTTGAATTTTCAGAAATCAAAACAACTCCATAAATCGAGGAAGATACCAGTCATGATTTTTTTTCTCTGCAACTGTATGAACTCAAAAGGTTTGAAAGAACACAATATTTGATTTTATGGAGCTAAAAACAAAAAGGAAGTTTAATGATCACATACATTTTTTTGTGTCTGCCAATCCTATAGATGAGTCTGATGGTTTGGTTCCTCTCTTGTCCAAAAACAGCCTCACTGATGATAAAATGACATCTTGTAGCTGGGGGTTTTCGAAGCAGAAAAATTAGAATTAGTTAAGCTATATAGTGACAGAAGAGTAGAAGGACTCAATGCAGGGAACATAAAACTTTTGGCAGGTATATGTAAAAGGATGAACAATTTCTGATAGAATAATAGCTCACCGGTAATTTTGAAAAACAGCCAAACTTAAACTTTCGTTGTATATTGTAAATATGAAAACTTTCATTAGCCATGACATTAAAATCTCTTACCACTGGGAATAGGTCTCCTAGAAATGTACACCCCTGATACACTTATATGGGCATGTACATTTATAGTGCGATAAATCTAACCTGCTGGATGCGACCACCTTAGATTTTCCACCTTGGATTTTACCAGAAGTAAGTATTTTTTTGGATGCCTGCATATCTTTAAATGCACCAAATTCATGCTTTTATCATAAAGTGCAAAATTCTTCTTTTTTTGCTCTTATCCGCTGTTACTGGTAGGTGTGAGAGCTGGGATTGATGCACGGTTCACTTCTCATTGCCTTTCCCTTCATACGTCTGTTAAATGGACCATTCCCAATTTCAGGGCCTTTTGTACCTAAATTTTACAACACTCTGTTCCTCTGAATGTCAGCATTGTTTCTAACAGAGTACTAATCGGCTTATCAATATGAAATGTAGGCTTAAGTAGCTGATGTTGGGTAAAGTATGAAATAAAGCCCTATAGGTAGCTGATGGTGAATAAAAAGTATGAAATGTAGCCTTAGGTAGCTGATGTTGTGTAAAAGTATAAAATGCAGCCCTATAAGTAGCTGATGGTGAGTAAAAAGTATGAAATGTAGCCTTAGGTAGCTGATGGTGAGTAAAAAGTATGAAATGTAGCCCTAAGTAGCTGATGTTGCGTAAAAGTATGAAATGTAGCCCTATAGGTAGCTGATGTTGTGTAAAAGTATGAAATGTAGCCTTAGGTAGCTGATGGTGAGTACAAAGTATGAAATGTAGCCTTAGGTATCTGATGTTGCATAAAAGTATGAAATGTAGCCCTATGTAGCTGATGTTGCATAAAAGTATGAAATGTAGCCCTAGGTAGCTGAAGTTGCATAAAAGTATGAAATGTAGCCCTAGGTAGCTGATGTTGCATAAAAGTATAAAATGTAGCCCTAGGTGGCTGATGGTGAGTAAAAGGTATGAAATAAAACCCTAGTTAGCTGATGGTGAGTAAAAAGTATGAAATGCAGTTGATGCTATGTTTTCCTTAAAGACAATTTTAATTGATTTGCAATTAATTTGGCACCAAGCATTGTGAAATCAAGCAATATTTGATTAGTAATATAGAGGTTCCCCAATGAGTGATGGTTGGTTATCATTCTTTATTCATGTTTTACTTTTCAAATTTTTACATTAATATACAATACAGTTACAATATATACATAATATGACATAAAACAAACAGACACAAATATTCATTCATTATCATACAAATACCAATATCAGTATAAGGAAAGGTAGGATTGTTTAGGAAATTTGTATTTCAATTCCTCTGTTAGCTGTCAGTCGTGAGCGAAATCAATCTAGCTAGTATATGTTTGACACTCAGTGTAATAGAACGAGGAAAAATGATAAAGATAGTGCCGTCGCTGGGGCTCGAACCCACGACCCTTTGGCTCTCCAGCCTGATGCTCTACCGCTAAGCTAAAGGGAAATTCCTTACAGCTGACGCTTGTAAGGCAACCTGATCAATGCACATCCTTAACATTATTCCCCCCTTATTTCTAACACCAACCCAGGTTCTTTGACTACCCACCAAGGGTTCTCCTACCATGAACGGGGAGGGCCAACGGCACCAGTTTGTAATAGGATGAGGAAAAGTGATAAAGATAGTGCTGTCGCTGAGGCTCGAACCCGCGACCCTTGGCTCTCCAGCCCGATGCTCTATCGCTAAGCTAAAGGGAAATTCCCTACAGCTGACGCTAGTAAGGCAACCTAATCAATGCACATCTTTTACACTCAGACCACAAATAAAAATGGGACAAGATTGAAATATATAATCCTGTTTTTCCATGCATGGGTTCATTTTGCGCAAGATATAAAGTGTATTAAGCAAAACTGCACATATATTCTTACATTTTACGAATAAACTTTCTGTCATTTTTTGCCAGTTTACAGAGTATTTTTTTACACACACATCTCATGTTATATATTGACTTAAGTGAAAATGACAGGCTCTATATCCAATTAAAATCAATTTAAAAACAATAATCTTCATTGCACCGGTTTATTTAAGGTGTTTTTTTAAAAGTACAAAAAGTCTTCATAAATAAGGGTCACATATTTCTCTTAGTCAGTGCACGGATCCAATCTAATTTCGTGGTCAGTGTGTAAAATTTGCAAACACTGCTGATTGTTGCAGGTTTATTTAAATGACAACCATAAAAACCGGTAGATTATTACTATATATTACGTGTTTAATGCTCATTATGTCCCGTCATATTAAATAAATTTGGATTTTTTCGAATAAATACTCACGTCAAAACTCGTGTTGTGGCGCTGGGCTTACTTTTACTTTACTTAGATACAATGGATGAAGTCCGATGGTATCCAAAAGAATACGTAATCTCGGAAATAGACGAGAAAAGACGAGAACCGGAAGTAGTTTTCATACGTAGAAGGGACGAAGCGGTTTAGGTTTTAGTTTGCACTGAGTGTCCACTACAAAGGCCAAGATGCCGAGGATTATGATCAAGGGTGGTGTGTGGCGAAACACCGAGGTAATGCCTTGCTAAAAAATTAACCTGATGACGACCACAGTCTAATTTTAATAGCAAAAATCTGACCACATGTGGACAACATGGGTTCATGGGTTGGGGGTGGCGGATGTAAACAAACGAAAAAGTAGCATGCAAAATAATGCATTGATATGACTAAATGTTCATATGTGATTCAGAAGTATCCTTACTGATACTTGATAATATCTGCGTTTCGTGTAGTTTGGTAAATAAATTGACCGATTTGGTTCCACTCGGTGCCATAAATAAATTGGCTGGAGTTACACTTGCATCCTCCAACATAATTAGCCGGTCGACATATAAAGCTAGCTACCAGCTATTTTCGAGAGTTGTAATTGTATGATTTTCATTTGTAATTTGAACACACACATACTGAGAATATTTAGTACAGCTTGACCCAAGATCTTTGCCATAATATTCAGGTGTCACAATCCAACAATATCTGAAATTTATGGGATTCCCACATTAAATCAGGATGCAACTTTTGTTACCACCAACTGCACATGCACATAATTTTCACTAGTTTTTGAGAAATTAAGTCCTCTTCAAATGCAACTGGAAGTGAAGTGGACAGTATTAAGAAGCACCTCAAGAAGAGACTAGACGCTTACAAAGGTGTCACCTGCAATGAACCAATTAACAATATTACAAACAAAGCAAATTAAACATTAGGCTTCATTCGCCGCAACTTAAAAGTAAACTCCAAAAATATTTAAGAACAGGCATGCAAATCTCTAGTGCGTCCATCTTTAGAATATGCTACTTCTGTGTGGGATCCTTACCAATCAAGAGACACAGCGTAGAGCTGCAAGATTTGTCACTAAACTCTACCATAACACCTCAACTTGACACCACAATTCTGACAATCCAGACACTCGATCTCCTTAACCACATTCCTCACTGTTAAGCTTACTGTCGCAAATTCTCTTTCTTCCGTAGATTGGAATAAACCACCTCCTTATTGAGTAACTTCAGAATCTCTCGACATCTTTAAAAAACAAACTTCAATCTCTAAACTACTAGTATTTCATATACACGACTACATCCTTCTTTTACCATGCACACACTTTCACAACCCTACATTGACATAATCTTCAATATGTTGAAGAAGTAGACATTGGTAGACATAGTTGAAATGAAAGCAGGTGCAATGTTTTAATGTATGTGCACACAAGATGTCTAGGATTGAAGCTCTATATATGTGTGTGATGGTACAAGGCGGCAGTATAAACAAAGCGTTACTATCACTATATATGTGTTCGAGATATCTGAAATTGAGGCTCAAAGTATACATGTATCTGGTTAAAGATTAACAATTGATGTCATATAACACTTGAAAATGTCAGCGAATTAGATGGCTGCAGATATTACATACAGCTGTTCACTGAGCACAGGTTCTAAAAGAACCGTTTAGAACTCGAATTACACAAATTTTTGACAGTCGTCTGCTCTGAACATGATTTCTATTTTAAATTATCACCTTGGTCACCAAATTGTTGGAAAAGACCGTATCATGTTATAAGTCTTTTCAAACATTGATATCTGGAACATGATATAAAATATGAAGGAATATTCAATTTAACACACTACATGATAACTTAACTTATATAATTACCATCCATCAATTAAAATGTTTGTTTTTAAAGGATGAAATTCTCAAAGCCGCTGTTATGAAATATGGGAAAAACCAGTGGGCACGAATTGCATCACTGCTACACAGAAAGTCAGCCAAACAGTGTAAAGCCAGATGGTAAGTTCCAGTTTGTTACATTTTTTGGAAATAATCTGTTAGATTAATAGCTAGTAGTGTTTAAAGTTATTTAAGCTTCTGTTTGTGTCACAATATTTAATGCTTGTGGTGCTGTATAGTAATCAAATTTTGCCCATGCATTGGTTTGGTTATGAAGTAAGTCACTGCAACTTTGAATAGAAAGAAAATATTTAAAAACGTATCCAAATGATAAATCAAGTTTTTATTGCTCAATTGATTTGAAATTTCAATAATATTCATTAAAACCACATTTATGGAAATTCTGAAGGCATTCAAGGTATGTTCTATGTAGTAAAATGTTTTCAAAAAAGAAGATAACTTTATTATGGATTGATATAAATTGGTCAATGATTTTAGGTTTGAATGGCTGGATCCTAGCATCAAGAAAACAGAATGGAGCAGGGAGGAAGAGGAAAAGTTGTTACATTTGGCCAAGTTGATGCCAACACAGTGGAGGACCATCGCCCCTATCATTGGACGTACTGCCGCACAGTGTCTGGAGCACTACGAATACTTACTGTACGTTATATGGGAATCTCGGTCTTCTCATAAAACCAATTCAATTAAGTTACATGCATAATCATTAAAAAAATGAATTCTACTTAGATAAATTTGTTCACACAACCTGGTATTGACACAGCTCACAAACTTAGTTTTAAATATTGGTTAATGTGTACACATGGTTATATCATTATGTCACCCTGAATACCAAACTGCAACCAACCAACAGATACATTTAAGTTGCGCAAGGCATTGGCTCCAGTATTTGGATATGCAGGAAAGTTTTAAATGTGAATACAGTTTTAATTTAACCATAGTAATAAAATAGTTTAAATCACTATCGGAATATGATATTACAATAGTACATTGTTTTTGTAATGTATTATCAGTGACAAAGCCCAGAATCGAGATGAGTCTGAGGATGACCCGAGGAAACTTAGGCCTGGAGAAATTGATCCTAATCCTGAAACCAAACCAGCAAAGCCTGATCCTGTTGACATGGATGAAGATGGTGGGCGATTTAAATTGTATTTGTAACAGAGGATGTTGCCATCATTCTTATAAAGTATAAGTGTTAAGTTGTTCTTACCAATTTGAATGACTTATTATAAACCCAGATTTCAAGTGCATTGCAGAAGGAAACTTTTCTATTTTAATATGATGTACAATAAAACTATACTGGAGCTTAACCATATATACATGTGTATTGTCTTGTATTAGATGTGTCACTTGATAGCAAAATGATGTAATGATGTATATAAACTGTGCAGGTATAAATGGATATATCTCGGTAGCTTGATGTTCATTAATCTATGATGGTTGCGATTAACAATGTGTATGTTTATGTCTTAATGAAAACAATCCATATTGTGATACTGTGTCAAGTACGCGGTATATCTGATCTGTAGGCAAGCTGACATTCACACATGTTTTATGTCATTGTGTTAGTAATATTCACTTCCTTGTTTTTAAAATGAAATTCAATAAATTTGTAATTTTTGGTTTCATACAGAATTGGAGATGTTGTCAGAAGCCCGAGCTAGGCTAGCAAACACACAGGGTAAAAAAGCTAAACGGAAAGCAAGGGAAAAACAGCTGGAGGAGGCTAGGTAATGTTATACAGATTACATGATATCTGTTTGGTATGGTTTCATTCTTGGAAGAGATCAAATCAGAACCATCTCGGATTACAATATGTTGCTAATGGTGTAGTACCAAAATACAGTGTTACTTCTCAGTTCTAATAAAAGATTTGATTATTGGAACTATTTACAAATCAAAACTTAACATTCTTCCTTATATATATTCATAAATTAGTCTGGTCAATATCTTTGCTTACCTTTACAGGAGGTTGGCAGCTTTACAGAAGAGGCGTGAGCTTAGAGCGGCCGGTATAGAGTAAGTAAGGGAGATAATCAGTTATAACCTGACCACTTGTGGTGACACTGGAGAGCTCAGACCTTAGTAAAAATTAAATTGATATGGCATTGTACGTCTTAACGCACCTATGTACAAAACAATTATTGTTTTGTTAGGTGTCTTTAATTAAATTAATGCTTTCAAAATGCTTGAAACAAAACTAAATCGATATATATACACATATATAACAAAAGATACATGAAAACTGTTACCATACCATTTGACTTTTATCATTTAGGCAGACACTTTTTTATATTAGTTCTTACTTATATCTTGTCCAGAACATATTTATCTTATACTGATCTCTACGAATGTACAGCATTGAGAGTACCAGTGTACTTAAACATGAAGCAAAAATGTTATAAAAATCTGGGCTTATACCCTGAGTACATCACTATATTGATATCACTAACAGCATCAAGAAACAGAGAAAGAAGAAGAGAGGTGTAGACTACAATGCTGAAATCCCATTTGAAAAGAAACCAGCACCAGGTAAAATTTGAAAGAACTAATCGTATATTCAATAGTTGTCCTTGAGCAATACATGTCTTAGCAAATGATTTAATGGTCTCCAGCACTTATTGCTATTGCTGACAAGTTTTAATAAAACCTGACAAGTCCCTGAGTTAGTTTGCCAGCCATAGTAATATATTTTAAAGGACCATAGCTCCACTACATATTTCTTATGGTTACATTTTGTAGAATAGACAGGGGGGTTGGAGACCCAATTTCCCTGCAATGAGGTCAATTCCGATGTGCCTGTAGTGATCCCGGGGTGAATACCTAATGACATTCATCGTTCCCATGGTGGCAGGTAGTTGTGCTCTAAAGACAGCCTCCTTTAGGCCCCAACATGTCAGCGCTGTAAATAGAGTCAAGGAAATATAATTTTGAACAGGAACCAGTGGGTCCTCATCCTTTCTTTTGAGATAATTTGTAGAAAATTTATTTATTTATTTGATTCATGATTCTAGCCATAACATTCATTGAAAAGTAAAGTCAATATTGTCACAATGTGATGGTTGATTCCACAATAGTGGTAACCTGACTAAATAGTGTGATAGTCTCACAACACGTTTTTCATTGTTTACCTATCAAAGTGTGAGGATGCAGACGTATAAATGTACAATTTTGAAGTGGACGTCAGTGTAACATCATTTGAAAAAGGAAAAACATGTGACATTAGTCATATTTTTAATTTACACAAACATTTATACTAAAATATGGTATATGGGAATAACATCACTTCAAATAGCTGTTCTGCATGATGTGGTGTGGACTGTAATTTCTGAACTACACACAGCTCTCAACTCATCAACTTTGAGGTCTCTAAAAGAGGTGGAATGTCGGACCAGAGCAATGCACTTCTGGAGCATGTCCACTGAACCACTCAATGTTATTTGATGGTCCTTCATAAATATAGATGTTATAACAAGATAGTTTGGTGTATAATGCAGAATGTGAGTTTTCTGTCCAGAAATGACTATGTTTTATATGCAGGTTTCTATGACACAAGAAACTTTGGTGTTTAATGCAGAATGTTAGTTTTCTGTCAATTAATGACTCTATGTTTTATATGCAGGTTTCTATGACACATCTCAGGAGCTTTATGTGGCTGAAGAACCTAACTTCAAACGTCTGAGGCAACAGAACCTGGAGGGGGAGCGAAGATCTGACAAGGAGGAGGTAACTAGAGCCAAACTAATCAGTTATTAGTTATTGGTGGTGGCAATCATTTTCACTCATTATATATCCCCTGTATGATTAAGAAATCTTAACAGAGTTATAACAATTAAATAATTCACAATATTTTATACCTAAAATATATTCTTTGCAAGCATATTTCTCTATGAAAATGGCCACAAGATTTGACAGAATATTACTCTTTTTTCTAACAATGGTATTGATCTTCTACGAATCAGATAAAATAAATCCAAAATCACAAAGTATATGTTCTCTGTATTATCTATTATTACCAGAAAGAGCGAAGGAAGGACAAACAGAAACAGAAAAAGAGGAAAGAGAATGACCTACCCGGAGCTATTGCCAGCCAGAGCAAGTAAGTACCTAGCATTGGTCATACAATTCCTCATCATTTTTTTTTAACATCAATACTTTCCATCTGTTTTCAATGGTGTTTGTGATTTTCTAATTTAATGGGGGAAAATACTGACATGTTGTAAGGATTGAGATGTAAACTGTACACGACACTAAAGTTTTACAGATGCAAAAAAAATCACAGAGAAAGTTTTATCATTAACTATCATCAGTTAATGCATCAAAATAAATGTTCAAAAACATTTGAAATTGAAATCAATTCTTGCTAATTAATATGAAAATATCAATCGTTTTTTTGATATGCTAAAAATAATTATTAGTGCTTTTCGCAATTTAAATATCACACTAAATTATCAATGTGCCAATTGAAGTTCTCGTTTATTGATCTCCATTGCATATTTTCTTGATGTGCCAATTCATCAATGCATTAATCTATTAAAATTTGATAATGCACTAAAGTATGAGTTCACTAAAATGTTTACAGTAATCACAATAATACCATCATTTGTTGATTCAGTTTCCAGGAACCTGTAAAGAAAAGGAGCAAACTGGTGTTACCGTCCCCTCAGATATCGGACGCAGAACTTGAAGAGGTACTCTTTATAAACCAGGACTACGGAGCTAGTATCAGTCGATGACAGTCCTGCTGTTTGATACATAACCAAATCAAAACTTAATTGATAAAATCCTTATTTTAATCCTCATCATGCTGTGTACTCCTCTGTTGCTGTATATTTCATACGGTGGACTTTCCACTGTCATATAAAACATTTTTAAGGCTTATACAACTGAATTAAATCATGCAAGTTTTAACTTACTTTTAAATGATTTGTTGAAACTTTTTGAACCCAAACAGCTTCATTTTCAATCTATCTGTATATTATGTTGCATTTGAATTTAAGTGACTTGTGCTTGAAAAAATAGACACAAAAACTGTTTTCATCAATGCTTTAAATACACTGTATACAGAGGAAGTAGTAAAATATTTGCCCTTGACTTGTAAAATCTATTTTCACCCTTATAACGGAGGGCGAAAAAGGCAAAAATAAACAGCGAACATTTCCTAGTATACAGAATAACAAATCAAGAAACTCAGTCAATGGTAGTTTATAATACAGTAGACCTGGTGTAGAAGATGGATGTATTATAAAGAGAAAAATTGAGATACAAGATAGTAATTGAATCAAAGCAATTATCTTCAAAAGAATTTTGGTAGACAAAAGAATTATGGAAAGAGTTATGGAAGACAGTTGTCCGTTAATATTGAAATTAGAACAAATGCTCTGTTTTCTTACTGGGATGTGGCTTAGTGTAAAGATATAATAAACATTATTTAGCATGCAAGGAGATGATCAAACTACTTAACAGTAAATGACTTAACAGTTTGTGTTATGTACTGGATCTGTATAATGATACTATAGTAAACATATTTCTCTCATTTCCCTGTGTGTAAGATAAAGCTGTCTGGGGTAAGAAAGGGGTATAGGAAATTTCTATTAATGTTTCTGCGCAAACTTTGTTTGCCCATATGGGATATTCTAAATTTGGCTGGCTGATGTGTTTTCATCTAAAAAGCTCAGGGGTAAAATTGATATTTTTAAAATGGTGACCAGTCCAAACACATTTTCATGGTTTCTGAGCTTATTCTGATGGTTGGAATGAGAGAAAAAAACTCTTTCATGCCCAAGGTTGTTGGATAGGAAAATTCCACCCTCAGGATTTTCAAATTTGGCAAAACCCCTCTGGTGGAATTTCCCTATCCTACACCCCTGGGCATGAAACAGATCCAGTGTCATTCTCGTTCATTCTCATATCTGCTGAAAATTCCTGCACAATCTTGATGATAATTTGATCTTGTTATACCAGGTTGTGAAGGTGGGCCAGGCCAGTGAGTATGCCCGCCAGCAAGCTGAGGAGAGCGGTACCCAGGACGGAGCAAGTCAGGCCCTTCTCCAAGACTACAGTCTCAACCCCGGGTCCACCAACCTTCGCACCCCAAGGACTCCAGCTTTACAGGACAATATCCTCCAGGTATATACAGTTTAGCTTCACCTTCCAGCGGTTCTTGATCTATATAAGATCTCACACTAGGTGGGTATAAAATTTGGAAAAACTTTTGATTAGTTCAAGTTGTTCTTGAGGAATATGAACTTGACATGTATTTGATTCCTGCAGTCAGCATCTTCCTGTCACTGGTCTAACAATAGATCAACGGATATTGCATATTGTATCATGCTGACCCTTATTGAAAATATCACATTTCATTGTCAAATATTTTTTATTGATATGTGAACTAAATTATCTTAAAGGAACACAATTGGAGAGATATGTTTATGCACTAGCCATTTATAATTTATGTATTTATAGCTACAGAATTAATGTAACTGATATTTACAGGAAGCACAAAACATTATGGCGCTGACAGTGGTGGACACCCCCCTCAAGGGTGGCCTTAACACTCCTCTCACACAGTCAGACTTCAGTGGCGTCACTCCCAAACACAATCTGCCCCAGACCCCCAACACCATGATAGCAACACCCATGAGGACCCCAGGCCAAGGCGAGGGACCAGGTAAACATATTCAGTGGAACCCGCTTATTAGGATATTCCATTTGCTAGAGAAAAGAATCATAATAACCGATCAAGCTGTTGTCGATCGTTTTTTATGTTGTCTGAACCGGAAGTGAGATGCCCTTTATTAATCAGACATAGATCGATGTGTGAACATGAAAAAATATAAATACAAACTGATTAAGTAATAATTGAAATAATTTCTTTATTGTTATACATATCAGCGTATTGGAAAAATTTGTGAATATTTCGTTTTGCCGTCGTAATGATCAGTATGCAAATTCTACTTTCACTTTCAAAAAACTTCGTACCAATTCCTATCTAACGATATCGCAATGTGAAAGTCAATAGGATGAGAGAAGTGATATAAATAGTCATGATTTACCTATTTTGTAACGAAAATTTGCGTTACATTTTGTCCCATAAGCGTAAAAATATTTTGCCACGCTATGTCATTTACGATCATGTGACAATCACATGCCTCGCAAGTCGTGTAGTGAAATCAACTTGCAAAGAATGAATAGCAATGTAAACCCCAAAATATTCCCTTTTTAACAATAATTAAATATTGTATGTAACAAAAATGGTGTCAATTGTAAATAAAACAGCCGTCGTCAGTACGACAATAGCGTTAACTTTCGATCAATTTCCAGCACCATACTGTCAGGGCGGTATGTCCTGATTTTGACACTTTTTCAACAGAGACACGAGGAAATTGACTTCTAATGCAATAGAGAAACTATTGCTTAAATGATTAAAAACACACATCTCCATTCTGAAGTAATATTTTCATTAAAATTGACATGATTTTCTAACATGACGTGTCAAGCGCGAATATTTGTGAAAGGCATCATGCTCGTTTTCTTATCAGAATTTGTGTTAGATAATGTCGGTAGGTATAATCATTTCAATTTGATACACAGTCCTACAGTGTATTTTAGATAGCAGTTAACTGCACTACATGTTTTGTTAAGAGTAAAATGTATGAACAGCAAGCGATGGTCAATCTATTGTTTTCCGCTGACTGGGGTGAAGCAAGGTGTGAAAAATTCACCTGGAGTGGACATGTGATCACCTCGGGCGAAGTACAGTTAGTCAGACCTACTGCTTAATTGTCCAGGTATTTCACATGGACAACTTTTTTTACCTTATAATTTCAATTCACAGCAGAAAATAAATCATAATAAGTGGAGTCCTAAATTTGACCATATCATATAATAAACGGGTTGGTTTTTTTGCTTAGTTAAAGAAGGAAAAAATCGGTACATGGTAAAAATATCATAATAACCAATATATCATAATAAGTGGGTTCCACTGTACTTGGATAAAAACTAATACTAAGACATATAGGTTTATAGTGAACACTTCAGTGATGTATAGGCTGAAAATGAACACTGAAAAGACATGAAGGCTAGCAGTGAACATTTGGGTATAGAAAATACCGATACTCATATATAATCCATATGCTATGAATTAACACAAAGGTAGTAAATGTGTAGGCTGAGAATGAATGAATAAGAATGAAGAATTGCTTACTTTCTGTCCATGTAGGTATGACCCCTCAGACGGTCGGTGGCATGACCCCGCGAGGAATGCCCGGACAACAGACACCTTTGAGGACTCCTGTTAGGGACAAACTTAATATCAACCAGCCAGAGGAGAACTTTGATATGGCCGTCACTGATCAGTTCTATCAGGTAAGGAGGAGAACTTTGATATGGCCGTCACTGATCAGTTCTATCAGGTAAGGACTTGACAAAACTGTTAGTGACCGTGTCACCAGTATTACCAGGTAAGGACTTCTGACATTACTGCCAGTGACAATGTCACTAGTATTACCAGGTACAGACTTCTGACATTACTGCCAGTGACAATGTCACCAGTATTACCAGGTAAGGACTTCTGACATTACTGCCAGTGACAGTGTCACCAGTATTACCCGGTAAGGACTTCTGACAAATTGACAGTGACTGTGTCACCAGTATTACCAGGTAAGGACTTCTGACATTACTGCCAACGACATTATCACCTGCTCACTTGGCACAAAGTTCCTGTAATCTTATGGTATGGTGTGGTGTCAGGCATACATCTCTCATCTGACTGTCAAGGTTACTCTGAACAGCTTTTTCTTAAGAACTGAAAAACCTGGACCATTATACCTGACCAGTTGCTACCTGGGATGAAATGCTATAAAGTTCTTCAAATGAATTTCGTTTTGATGTAATGTCAAGGTTACAGGGGCAAATACATATGTACGTATGTTAAAAATTACAAACAAGGTTATCTTAAAAATCATGAGATCTAGAGCACTGATAAGTATATCTGTTAAGATCAAGGATCAACTTAAAGTGCTGGCTGAGGTCGAAGTTTAACATGCTCTCTAATTGATAAAAGGTTTAAGAATTTTCTTATCTTAAGCACTGAAAGACCAGGGCCATAATATTTGGCCGGTAGCTACATTGAGATGAAATGCTATAAAGTTCCTTTGGAGAAATGACAATGACATATTTTCAAGCTTACAAGGGTAAAAAAATGGTTATATGGTCAATGAGTCATAATTAAATTGGAAATGGTTGAGATCCCCAACCTTTAACCATATACCTATTTTCTGGACATGAAAGAGACGAACACAATCATATTGCCAACCCATAAGGACTGAAGTTTCTAGGTCATAGCATGGAAATGATTGAGATCCCCACCCTATAACTATATATTTGCACAGGTATAAATAGACCTGAACTATTTTCCATGATGTGTCCTTGATCTTTGGGAGATGAATGTAAGACAAACAAATGTGATTGCACCTGTACAAATTGTGGTTATATATGTCAATACTGAATTATACAAAATAGTGTGAGGTTTTCATATTAAAGACTAAAATTGAAAATGTATGGATTTTGACAATGATTATTTTTTTAAATTGTACTTGAACTTCCTTATATCTGCAGCAAGACCTGAAGAAACAGCTGAAGCAAGGCTTGGCCAGTCTACCACGACCAAAGAATGACTACGAGATTGTTGTCCCAGAGGATATGGAACAGATGGGCGATGATCAAATGGAGACAGACGCATATATAGAGGATCAGGCTGACGTAGACCAGCATTATGAGGAGATCCAGCACGCTAAACGTAATTCTACCACTCACTCCATAGCCCACTACTATCCAATCTATGTCTATCTAGCTTCCCTCTCACTCCATAGCTCACTACCATCCAATCTATGTCTATCTAGCTTCTCTCTCACTCCATAGCCCACTACTATCCAATCTATGTCTATCTAGCTTCCCTCCCACTCCATAGCCCACTACCATCCAATCTATGTCTATGTAGCTTCCCTCTCACTCCATAGCTCCTACCTTCCAATCTAAGTCTATGTAGCTTCCCTCTCACTCCATAGCCCACTACGATCCAATCTATGTCTATGTAGCTTCCCTCTCACTCCATAGCTCACTACTATCCAATCTATGTCTATGTAGCTTCCCTCTCACTCCATAGCCCACTACCATCCAATCTATGTCTATCTAGCTTCCCTCTCACTCCATAGCTCACTACAATCTAATCTATGTCTATCTAGCTTCCCTTTCACTCCATAGCTCACTACCATCCAATCTATGTCTATCTAGCTTCCCTCCCACTCCATAGCTCACTACCATCCAATCTATGTCTTGTAGCTACCCTCTCACTCCATAGCTCACTACCACCCAATCTATGTCTATGTAGCTTCCCTCTCACTCCATAGCTCACTACCATCCAATCTATGTCTATCTAGCTGCCCTCCCACTCCATAGCTCACTACCATCCAATCTATGTCGATCTAGCTTCCCTCCCACTCCATAGCTCACTCCCATCCAATCTATGTCTATCTAGCTTCCCTCCCACTCCATAGCTCACTCCCATCCAATCTATGTCTATCTAGCTTCCCTCCCACTCCGTAGCTCACTACCATCCAATCTATGTCTATCTAGCTTCCCTCCCATTCCGTAGTTCACTACCATCCAATCTATGTCAATGTAGCTTCCCTCTCACTCCATAGCTCACTACCATCCAATCTATGTCTATCTAGCTTCCCTTCCACTCCGTAGCTCACTACCATCCAATCTATGTCTATCTAGCTTCCCTTTCGCTCCGTTGCTCACTACCATCCAATCTATGTCTATCTAGCTTCCCTCTCACTCCATAGCTCACTACCTTCCAATCTATGTCTATGTAGCTTCCCTCTCACTCCGTAGCTCATTACTATCCAATCTATGTCTATCTAGCTTCATGTTCTAGGATGCATTTTGTTAAATACAACTTTACAACATGTAAAACTTTAGACATGTATCATTACCAATTTGTCATCAATACCTTCCTCCTTGATTGGATTGTGGTAGAACTGCACATCAGTTTCCAGTACCATGATACCTTAAAAAATTCAGGTTCTTGGAACAAAAGTCAAGACCACTGTTACAATAAATGAAAGTTACTCTCCATCGCTGTATAAAGTTCTTTTTTTATCAAATTTTAATGAAACTTGACATATTAGTTCAGTACTGAAGTAAATTTACTTTAAAAGAGAATCAAGATAACTTTTATCGTTAATACAAGATAGTAGTGATCACTGATTACTTTAATTCAGATTGTGGTGAAATTTCACTCAATTGTTCAGTGTTAATGTCTCAGGGTGCTGAGTCAAAGGTCAAGGTCACTGTTACTCATGCTTGGAGTAAGTAAATGTGGTGGGGCATTTTGGTACCACATACTTTAAATAGTTATAGATTTTGTCTTTCGCTCTTCCCATACATGGTATATGTATATATATATATATATTATTTCTTTTTGCGTCTAGCTTGAGTTCAGACTTGTCTTTCTGTATAGCCCTCCTTAAATGACCTTAGCTGTTAATAGGACGTTAAACAAAATCAAACAAACAAACAAACAAACTTTCTGTATAATAACTTTTTTTTAAAACATTCACCCCTGAAGACACATTTGAACTCTTCCAATTCAAAGGTAATAATAGTTCATTATGAAATTTCAGGGGTGAATAAATAAATATTTAGAAAGTAAAATACTTAAATAAAGCTGAGATTAAGTGTTTAACATATGGACTATGATTACAGGTATGAAGGAGTTGCGTCTTCGTTCTCAAGCGGTACAACTTGACCTTCCACGCCCATCAGAAATCAACAAAAACATTCTGCGTGTTGCCGGGCATGGTGACCCACCTCTGATGGAACTACAGAAGGTAACTAGTACCCTTTCGTTGAACACTCTCTGATAATTCATATCATGACTACTTAGTTTCTAGCATGAAAGTTTTTTGGCTGATATGCAAAGTGATTTATTTCCAAAACACTAACAGTAGCTCTATTTCATAGAATACATATTCTTTAGGTTCAATGCTTTACTTAAAATGAGACTTTTCTGTAATCAAACGTTGGAAACTAATTTTTTGCTATATATCATTTCAAAGCAAACTGTTGCCTGTTTGTATCACATTGATTTCCTGTGTGTTGGAAAATTACAACAAAATTTTAGAATAAAGAAAGAGATAATTATTGAGCAGTGAAAGAAACATTTTCAGTTGGACACCAGGTTCTTTAAAAAATGTATCTGTGAAACAAACCATTATTTGTATCAATATAAATGTATTAACAGGCAGAGGAGCTGATCAAGAAGGAGATGCTAACGATGCTTCACTATGATGCTGTGTACAGCCCCACTCCGGGTCAGCTAGGTGTTAACCCCAACAGTAAGAAGCCCAGTCAGAAGGGCGTGGTCAATCAGGCCCAGCATTTAGCTTATCTGGAGCAGCATCCCTACTCCGGCTACACTGAAGAGGACATTGAAGGGGTAGGTAAAGTGACCCAATCAGGACAAGACTGAGGATGTACGCTAAGTTTGTATGAACACAAACAGTAATTGAAGGGGTAGGTAAAATTACCCAATCAGGACAAGACTGAGGATGTACGCTAAGTTTGTATGAACACAAACAGTAATTGAAGGGGTAGGTAAAGTGACCCAATCAGGACAAGACTGGGGATGTACGCTAAGTTTGTATGAACACAAACAGTAACTTAAACCTTGTTTTGCTGCTTTCGAAAATATCTGTTTCTTTTGTCAAGCAAAGAGTGCAAAAAAACAGTATTTTGATTCTACACTGCTGAAAACAACTCAGCACATTATATTACTGGTACCAAACTGATAAATCCCATTTTAAAGACTGAGGATGGTTTGTACTGCAACTATAACCTCATCAGTTCAGATTGTTTTAATCCCATCCATGTGGGTATGTTTATTTGCTAATGAAATTTATTATTGTTAAAGTTGTGGTAATCCTACTTGAGTGATTAAACAGGCTCTGTTCAAAGTATTGTTGCAATATTTATCAGTTAGACTGTAGAAACACATACTGTTTACTGCATGTTAAAATGTGTCGCCGTCTCCCCAGGCAAAGCAGCAGCTGAAGCGAGAGATGGAAGTGGTGAAGGGGGGAATGAACCACGGTGACTTGTCTATAGAGTCGTACTCCCAGGTGTGGGAGGAGTGTTACTCCCAGGTACTCTACCTCCCCTCACAGAACCGCTACACACGCGCCAACCTCGCCAACAAAAAGGATCGCATAGAATCCCTGGAGAAACGTCTGGAGGTAAACACCATTCAGGTTGAGAAAAACATACAATATAAATGCCACCCATAGTTTCAAGCTATGTTAATAAATGTCTGTAGAGTAGTTTGTGTCATTGTGCATTTATGTCAATATGTTACTGTGTTAGTTTCGATCCAGATATGACCATATACCAAGTAATTGATAACATATTCAACAGGATTGCTCAAGTTCATATTCTTCTGATAGTTAGTGTGATATCAGTTTCTTATGAGAGCCAAGTATGCTATATAAACAAGTTTCCTAATGTACCATAAAAACGAGTGTAATTGGCGCACCTGATAGATGTAATTTGCGTAGGTACTTTTTTTGGCTGAACACATATGCATGTCAGCACACACCAACCCAATTCCTATCTCAAGTTGAAAATTATAACTAGACACTTCGTGTATTTTTATTTATTTAATAACTTTACGTTAATTGCCTCATCAATTCATAAAGCAACACAAATATCTAAAAAAATAAAAATAAAAAAAATAAAAAATTATTAAAACTGAACATATACATGTAGCTATGTAATTTTCGCACCCCCAACTTCAAACTAAATTTCGACACAAAAAAAATCTGCTCAAATTACATGAGTTTTCACGGTAACTGTTACAAACATCTATATATTTGTGTGATGCTAATTGCCACTTGTAACATTCCAGGGTAACAGATCCCACATGACCAAAGACGCCAAACAAGCAGCCAAGCTGGAGAAGAGATTGAAGATCATCCTCGGAGGCTATCAGGTTAGCATGGGGTTGTCACCCTTACAACCTTAGTAATAAGGATATGTAGCAGTAATATGGTTGATAGATTGTTGTCCATTTGGACTTATTTTGAGGATTGCTCTTCAAACAAATAGTTCTGAGAATTTGAATTTGCAAAAGCGACCTGTAGTCAACACTGAATAATGAAAAGGGCTCATTACTTCAATTTTAAAATTACTGCAGTTCCTTTCACCTTTTGAAAGCTTTACTCTGTTAGTGTGATTAGCTGATGAGCCCGATTTCTGCCCCATGACTTCCTAAGCTTTTCTTACCTTATATGAACAAACTCTGACCAAGGTCAAGGTCATTCAGTATTGCATCTTTAAGTTTATTTTACTTATGATTTCTGCTCTATTAATTGATAGCTTTATTTTGTTGAATAAATTTAAAGAAAATAAATGGCAATTTCATGGATGCTGCTATAGATTATCGGAAATTTAGTTCAGAGTATGCACATTGGTTTGCACCGAAATTTTAAAACCACTATAACAATAAAAGGTGATGTTATGTATTTTTATTTATTTTTTTCAGTCTCGTTCCCAAGGTTTGATCAAGCAGATCCATGATGTATATGAACAGATTGAGCAGACCTATGTAGAGTTTAAAACATTTGAAAATCTACGACAACACGAGTTGGGAGCTATACCCAAACGATCTGAGGTGAGTTTCTATACTATATATTCTTATATTTTCACTTAATTTGCTGTCTGAAAAAGATGATGATATATAATTCCAACAAAATTGCATAATTGATAGAGTAAAGAATCTTGACCATTTATGGGTTGATGTGAAATGTAAACTTCACAAATCTATTTTGGGAACAAAAGTTTGAAAGTAGGGCATTATAAAGTTTTAGCCCAAAACTATCTGTGCCTAATTTGCACTATTACCCAGCGTTTTAATCTCCTCTCTCAATTGTATATCTAGAGCTGATACTGCACTGTTTTAGAGTAGTTGTCTTTCCCCCCATTTATTTACAAGGCTGTGCTTTTCTTTTCAGTCATTAACAGAAGATGTACAGAGACAGACTGACAGAGAGATAGAGTTACAGAAAAAGTACAGTGAACTGCAGTACAGAAAAGACATACTACAGTATGAGAGGAGGTGAAAGGGTTGTTGATAGTGTCAGTCACATAGAAGACATTTAGGTATGAGTGGAGGTGAAAGGAAGTTACAGTCAATTATAGAAGACATTTCAGAATGAGAGAAGGTAAAAGGATCCTCGCACAGAAGACAATTCACGATGAGAGGAAATGAAAGAAGCAACGTTGGTGTCATTTGCAAGAAATTAGAACATTCAGTATGAGAGGCAATGAAAGGAAAGTTATCAATTATGAATAAGATATTTCAGTGAAGGAGGTGCAAGAAGCATTGATGGTGTCAGTCACAGAAGAGGCATTTTTCAGAGCAGGGGAAGCAAAATGAAAAATAATGTATGGTGAAATATTCTGCTAGCACATGTATGAATGAAATTATTTGTATTACAGATTAAAATAAAGAACAGGTACAGACATTGTGATGTTTCAATTTTATAAACATATGAGGAAATTGAGTATAGCATTGAATCTGACGAGAAAAAATCTTATAACTTCAAATAATAAATAAAAATTTCAATATTGGGAAAGAATCTCTTGGACATGTCTACAATCATGTTAAATAATTTAAATCTCGTTTGTCTTTGAGTTTAAATTAACTAAATTTGTGCACAAGAAACCAATATCTCTACACTTTGTTATTGAATCATATTTGCTTGTAATAAATATTTTTGGAATGTATTCAAAGGTATTTTTTGTTTGATTCATTATATGCTAGAAAGGTAATATTATGTTATGGCCTCCATCTGTTTGTACATTAAAGTTTGGTTTCAGCACAATTTCAATAAAACTTGGTCAGGATACATATGTTGGAGTGAAACTGAGGCCAGGTATGATGTTTCAGAACTCACACATCTCTTTACCATACTGCAATCAGGTGGCTTGTTTGCTTGTTATCGCTTCTCTAAAGATGATTGAAATTCAGTGAAACATGCTAGGCGGATAGATGTCTACATACGAGATTATCCTAGCTACAAGTAGTCTCATTGGTTGATAATCTCTGCATACTGATACATCCTTAAATAATCTAAAAGGGTACATCAATCGCAACAAACTAGGGACTGGTATTCTTGTGTCTATTTGTGTGGTCTACTGGTTTCACCCAAACATTGGGTTTCATCAGGACAAATTGAATTAAATAATGATTTTTATGATTAGCCTGATATGAAATACGAGATAGGCGAATTTCAATGCCAGATATATCCTGTGTATATTTAAATAGCAAATTGTGATTCAATGCCTAGGTCACAAATTAAAGTCTTAGTTTTTAAAAAAATTGTCGTGTACAAGTAGCATATTTTATTCATTACTAAAGGTTAGATTTCTAAAATTGTGAAGAAAAGAAAAACTCTGTGATGTTGAATCACTGATCAAATCTTATGTAAAATTAAACAAGTACCATAAAATACTAATAAAAAGACCAAAAAACAGCATTTCACCCATAAAAAGATATTTGAAATTAGTCATAATTGCAAAACTCCTATAAATAGACTCAAAGCTGTTAAAGTTTCATAACATTCAAATTACAGCTATTCAAGTTGTACGGAAAAGGCATGACATGTGCCAGAGCCATATCACCACTATGAGAATAAAGCGGTGAGCTAAGAGTACACCTTCCATGTCTACACTATATCAGTGGAGTTAAATGGATTTGGATGGCCCAGGTTTGCCTGATACAAATTAATGTGTAAATCTCAACCATTCAAATCGTTAAGTTATTTAACCCTATTATCACTATTAATCGCAGTCACGTCGTCTTAAGGTGCATCAAACTCATTTAAATAATGAATCCCTTTGACTCTTGCTTACTTACTTTTGATATTGTTCATCCTAGATGGGCTTGGGACCTTCACTATGCCACGAACTTCGTCTCCTTGAGATTGTCTGTTTCGCTTTTCCCCCACGATGACCAAATGTACTGCAACTAAGTCCTTTCACAGGTCGTTTCAGGTTGACCTCGTATTTCAGTCCAGTGCTTGTCTGGTGATTTTATATGGGTTTGGGGTATACCTGATGGTGACCAAGATTGGACTAATTTTTAGGTCACCTGAGCTTTGCTCAAGTGACCTATTCTAATCGCTTTCTGTCCGTCGTCGTTCGTCGTGTGTAAACTTTTTACATTTTCAACTTCTTCTCAAGAACCAGTGAATGGATCTTTTTCAAACTTGGTCAGAATCATCCTTGGTAGATGAGGCTACAAAATTGTGAAATTGAAATTCCTACCCCAACCCCTGGGGCCAGGGCAGGGCCCCAAAAGGAAAATTAACCAATATTTCAAAAAACTTCTCCAGACTCAGAGGTACTACATTAATTTTCTCTGCATGGAAATAAAATCATCAGGGTCTTTATTTAAATTGTAAATTTCAGTACCCCCGAGCTATCTGTTCTCCCTTGGGGAGGGGGTAAAGTTTACTATAGTTTATATAAGGAAATTACACTTTTGGGTATAAATTTATCCTTTTTCAGCAGAGAATTACTCAAACTTAGTCAGAATCATCTTTGCTGAAGGAAGGTACTACATTGTAAAATTGGGATTCCTGCCCCATCCCCAGGGGCTAGGGTGGGGCCCCAAAGGGAACATTTAATAGCGATATAGTAAACAACCTTATCGTCCACCATCCTGATGGCAAAATGATCAATAGCGATATAGTTAACAACCTTATCGTACACCATCCTGATGGCAAAATGATCAATAGCGATATAGTTAACAACCTTATCGTCCACCGTCGTGATGGCATAATGATCAATAGCGATATAGTTAACAACCTTATCATACACCATCCTGATTGCAAAATGATCAATAGCGATATAGTTAACAACCTTATCGTACACTGTCGTGATGGCAAAATTAAAAGAAGAGTGCCTTATATTGTATTTCTTGAATGCTTGTGTTGTAGTAGCTCTGAATGATTCAGAATGACAATGACGATTTTCATTGTCTACCATAATGTGTTTCGGTATGTTATAACGAATGTAATTTGGAAGTCGCTGAACGTTAGGTATATGGGTGACAGGTCATTGAAAGGTCATTCGTAGCATTGTAATCTGGTATATGCACGACCCTCCTTTTCGGAATACTGCTTGTTCGTTCCTCTTACTCACATTCGGTGATGTTCTGGTACGTCCTTAACTACAGGATTTTGCTGCCTTTCCAAATATGGCATTTGTTAAGATCGTATTGTTTAGGCATCTTGGTCATGAGTCCTGTCCTCCATTCAGCTGGGACCTCTAAAGGTAAGACTGATGTCAGCAGTAGTTAAGTCGTTGCAGGGCATCTGTTGGAATGCTAGTCCATTAAATATTTAACCACACTGATTCTTCTAATGGACCCATTTCCTTTTTTCACTGAAACATCGAATTCATTCAACTGCTATTTATATAATAATTGAATCGCTTTGGCTTTATTCATGAAGTGAAATAATTAAGTTACCCATTTTAAGAAGTGGTAGTTTAATACTGGGCCGTTTTCGTTAATCGCGATCCAAACGGTTGGACCAGAGTTTTTCGTTATGAAATAAGGTCGGACCCAGCAATCTGAAAGCCTTTTAAGGCCTGCATTAACTTTTGAAGGTCCGCCAAGATTTGTACCCGAAAATGTAACATTTAAAAATAGACGTACATGTTGTTCCGCATAAACGAGCAGGCCCCTGGTTTACTCAATTACCCTGTATTTGGCCATATTCCTTTGTCTCCAGGAGGTACCCATACCTTCGTGTAAATATTTAGCAAGACATTTATGGAATCAATGTCTCCATCCTCAAGGTAAGGTAGTTAGGTACCGACCAATGTGATAATAGCTACATGTTTTGTACCACGTCAGTTTTGTCTATGACGCTAAATAAAGAAACCTAGAAATGAAGTGAACTTCAAACTCAGCAGTATTTACACGAGGAAGACATTCAATTAAATCCATTTATTGACGGCCCGTCAGTATACAACACATTACAAATTACAAACATATATTTATTGATCACATTACAGTTGTATATTGAATCATTTATATCCCATGATTGACAGGAAAACATCTATCAATGTAAACCTCTAAATAAGAAAATAATGTATTTAATCATCTTTTGGGAAGGGGAGTGGGGTAAGTATTGAAGTTTACATCATTGATCTAAATGCCTTATATTTGATTTTCTATTCCAAAATGTCATCAATTCACCGTTCTGAAAGACGTCGTTGCTGTATGTTGCATTTTTATTTGTTAGAATTATTTGAATAATTAATTAAAACGTCGGTATTTACAAAACAAAAGAAAATTTAATATTTCCAAAATACAACCACAAGACTTGCTGATATTATTCGGAGTAAGCCTGATGACTTCAAATCAACTGCATCATGAAATATAGTTGGAGGGGAAGTATGGATTTTACCATTCAGAAAAGGAAAGCTCAAATAATTTAATTTGTAACGTATATCATAAAGCGTATTATAGTAGGCCGTTCCTGTTGGTCATGTTGTAAGTGAAGGTCGGGGTAAGCGGCCGGTGTAAAAGAGTATATAGCGTCCCTTAATTTCAGATTCAGGAGGTAAAAATCACTTTTCAATATGTCTTATGATTCTCTGCAGACTATAAAAATGGTTTAACTCAGTAGGTTTAGAAGAAAAGTGATATATCACATTTGATTTTTTTCCTGTGTATTGATTTAACACCATAATTACCTGTGTCGTTACGTAACATAATACCACACTTGTACCCAGTCGTCAGGGACATGCCAACATGGCCGATTGACGACATTGAGTGATCTTGTAATAAGAAACAGTCGGTCTCAGATCGATCCATCGAGATAAAATCACGGCTTGTAATTGTACCTAATTGGCTGTAATTGGCTCAGGAACAGGTAGTTAGCCGAGGCACTGGGATCGTTAATATTTGTCAACCAGCCTCTTGTTGACTGCACCAGAATACACAAATCGAACGGTGTGGTCTTGCAGAGGCAAAAGAGGCTGGTTGAACGACACCATGGAATGATGGGTTTATAAAATGTTCATCTAGTATCATTTGGTTTTAACATGATTATTACTATTTGATAAGGACAGCATATATAGATTAGAAAAAAATGTTAATAACTAAAAATGTCGACCTGCATCACAGAATAGTTAACCCGGTATAACCTGTCATCTGCTAACTAACTTATATCATGGCTCAGCTTCCACCCGTCTTCGTCATTTTTTTCTTTTACTCTGATGCCTAGCATAATGACATTGGATCTGTAGCTCGCTGGGTTAAAGAATTAGCAAGTGTGGTCCAATGAACGACACTAACACCTCCTCCTGCCAAAAATGGCACGCGATTAAGGCCACTGGACCTAGTGTTTACTATTAATATTGATGTATTACCTTAATTTAAGCCTGTGGATGGATGTTACAAAACGACTGCCAATCAATTGTATGAGATGACGGGAACCATCCTCTTTGGCTTAATAAGAACAAAAAAAAATTAACACTAAATTGATTGCGCATTTGATATGAAGTAATTATTGTCATTAAAACTAATACTGACCAAATTAGTGAAAGAAATCGAAATCTTTTATCGGAAATGTCAGCCTTTTATTTCTACATAATTGTAAGTTCCATGATCTTGTATAGCGTATGGATTGTGCTGTATGGTACGTCAAACCATGAGACAGGATTAACTGAGAGGCATTTATCCAGTGTACAGCCTGGAAAATAAGTTAGAAAATAACGAGTTAGTTCAAGATTGCATCGATGATTGTTAATAGAAATCGCATGATGATAAAAAAAAAACTTCAATCTAAAATTATTTCGATACTGGGGCTACATAAAAGATTTGAGAGATTATTCGACTTCGTCTGCTTCAATTGAAAACGGCCTCATTCTCTTTCATACACGGCAGTCCGTTCTGATCGATCGTCGTGTTGAACTTAAGGTTTTCAAAGAGTTTTCATGATTATAGCGGAATATATCATGCAAAGGAACTGAAAAAATCCAAACTTGTCAGCTTCGTGGTTTCTTCTACAACGACGAACGATGCTTGTTTTCCAACACCAGATCCTGTAATGATATAGATGTCATACAAAGTATGAAGTTGTTAATGTAAACAAAGCAATCTGACAATCGACAATTCAATACCTTTGAAGTGCGGAAACACATACTGTATAACACGAAATATTCGTGGTTACTTTCCGTCGTGGTTCGAAGCTATTTAGATCGTTTCATGGTACAAACTTTCGAGGAAATCCTTTATTAACAAACAGTAGACACGTATATCACTCAAATTCTTTGTAGTTATTTTCGTGGTTCAATAGCAACCGTGAAAACCATGAATGTTTATGCACAACGAACATTTCATGTTATACATTATACCCGACTTAAGTAGTGCTAGAATTGTTGAATGCTAGCTGTGAGCGTCGAAATGGCAGCACCGGCTGTATGCTCTCCAGGGAGACGAGAAAGATATTGGCTGGTCGCAAAGGCCCTATAATAACCACGGATAATAATTTGTGAACTGCTTTGAGACGACCTACGAACTAGGTTGTGATAGAACCACGAATTATTATTATTATTATAGACCTATTTTATATAGTACAGGTGGGGCATTTAACATAGTTTGGTATATCATATCCCTGTGCATTTAATATTGTCTAAATTAATTGCATGGTCCCTGGATGACAGTTGAACGGAGCGCAAACTTTGAACAGATTTAAATCCTTCCTTCAATTTTGTCCCTGCGGTTCATTAGCCCCGTGTTTTTAATTAGTAAATTTTCTTCTTAATATTTTCGGAATTGTTAATGATCTTGTAACAGGTAAGCATATAATGGTAGGTATTCACCAGAGTAGACTAAAACTATCTAAGGTCTGTTCAGTGTACGTAACAGGGTGATGTGTTACGGTGATAAACAGCGACCTATTTCTAAGCCAATATGTTTGTTCTTTTTCTACTTGGAAATAAAATTCCCGAACTGAACGAATACAGCTATTATAATTCAAAACAAACCGGGTAGTTATCAATCCTGTTCTATTTATGTGTAGTTTAAACATTGTCAATCGAAGTGGTCTGTTCTTATATGTCTTCATTTCGTTGATCCTTTCTGTATCCTGTAAAAACAAAATCGCAGTCCCTGAGTTTGCCAATTTGCTAAAATGCCATTATTTTATTTCTTCGCGAATTTCAATGCACCAATTTATTTAATATGTACACAAGCCAATTTTCAGTTTTCTATCAATTGTAATTGATCTTTACTATTCTGTTGACATTATTAAAGCGACTATTATCCTGGTCAGTCGTGGACGACTTTTGTTTGTCCGAATTCCATACTGCACAGAACGTCGAACGTTAACGACTTGCCAATGTCCGTTTGAAATTTTCATACATTCATCAAATTTACCAGCAATAAAAATGTTCCGTTGCGGCTTCCGTACAGCTGTTTGTGTTCGATGGTAACCGTTTAATCTTCATTCTGAACTACGGCATATGCAGGAAAACAGCTTCGTTCCAGTTTTTATTGGTTAACTAGTACAATATACAGAACAGAAGAACGGATTTGGACTACGTCATACAGCAAAGCAACACATTGAAGGTTCTATTATTGATTGGATAATTTTAACAAATTACTGGCCGGAAACGAGTTTTTACCCGGCTAACTACGTTCAGAAGAAAATAATAATATTTTGGGTCAGTCGGTGACGTTTGTGTACTGGACGTGGTATAGATGATATAGTATCTGGTAGTGATTATTTATCTTTCCCTCTTAATGTGTCCATATTCGATCGATTGCGAGCTCGCCCTGTTTACGTTGGCACTTTGATATTCCCTTTTTTCAGTTTTTCATAACTGCTAAAGGTTTCATCACAGGTGTTCGCTTACATCTTTCTGTTATAGGCGGTCAAGGAGTCGCCGTGTATAATTATGAAACTGGGCTAATTAAGGTTTTGTTTCGTGGTTCGGGTGTAGGTATACTACTTGCTGAACATACTTTGTAATAAGTGCGTTAACAATATGATTCCGAGTTTTAAGATAAAGAGATAAAGAGTCCTATGTGTAATGTTATAAGATTTGAAGCAGAAGACGCTTACCCTTCTGGGACACCTGGTTTTATTCCCGCTGTACTGTTTTGGTGTCTCCGTGTCTTTCCCCTGCAACATTTTGCTCAGTTTTATCGAGATTTAGTTCAAAATATGGTTTTGTAGATACTTCCGAATCCCTTGCACTTGATCTATAATATCCAATCTGATTAAAAGCATCTGTTACATGGCTCCGTTAACTTGTAATAGATGATTTTAATCAGATTGTATAATATCAATCGTAATTTTTGCTAATCGTTTTTAAAGATATTTCTCTTTCATTGATATTCGTCCAAGTAAACACATATCTTCTCCACTTCGACACATTCCTAAAAGGATAAAAAATGTATTTCTTCACTTGTAATGTATATAACTTTCAACAAACGTGAATGTGCCAAAATCCATTACATGTGATCGCATTGTTCCGTACAAATATATGAAGATGTTTTAGCAGAATACTGTTATTCCATTGGACAAAACAATAGTAATGGTGGTAAGCTCAATGATATTACCTTTTGTCTCTTTTGTCAATAAAGGGGAAAAACACAAGAAATTGTAATATATAACATTTTAATCATGTTCGACATCTATAATTATAATACTTATGTCATACAATACTGTGTCAACGACACTGAGTCACTCCTACCTACTAGCTACAACGCAACGTATCTCAATATGGCTTGTGTTGAGTAGTGGAATATCTGTAGCCAATACATCAATAGATAAATTAAAGAGCCATAAATAACCATTAAAGCAAGAAAATCGTCTAAGGTAATATTTTATCAGGCATTTTTTTTATCAATTTATTGACTTTCAACCACACACCAAGTAGTGCCTTTATAGTCATAATGTCTAAACATTTGTTAACTTAGTGGCGAAATGTTGTAATAACAACCTTATCAGAATTTAAATTATATGTGTAACGAATATGTTCCTTTTATATGGAGGTATCTACTTGAATTTCAGTTTGATCTTTTAACAACTTCAAATATATGTACGAGTTTTCTTAAATGTCAAAATAAAAAATAAAATGTTTTAAAATAGAATACGAGATTTTCTCCTGAACTAAATTACTAGCTGTGATGCATAAATAAGTATATCAATTTAAGAACTGGTTGATTTACATGGTTGCGCTAGAATTGGAAGCCAATATATATAATCTGTCATTATCATTTGAAAGATTGACGTCCTCTCTGTCAGTTAAACATGTCTAAATGGAATTTTAAAATATACATATTTTGGTTTGAGTCCGTTTCAACTCATGATTACCTGTTGGAATATCTTTAACCAAGTGCGTCTATGTAACGAGTAATCGTTTGTTAAGCGAAAAACTTTAAACTCAATCTCCTTTAATATTTAAAAGCAGAGTTTTATGGGACGGAATGAAATTATGGAAAAAAAATAACAGGGTTTGTATTCAACCAAACTATATTACCACTATTCTGCTAAAGACATTCATTCGGCGGACACACCAAGTAGATCAAAAATACCCATCCATGCCGTTTGTATGAATTAATGGAGATTAAGATTTTTCGTTGAATTAAAACTTTTGATGTTGGGATAGCATCACTGTAATTTTTGTACAATATCACGAGTTGAAATAATGATTAATTGATGATGTTTAGAAAAATAAATACTAGCAAATAATAAGGCAGCCGCATTCTACTGAGATGACAAATGAAAACTTCCATTGATCTGTACCACGAAATGAACACGAAACTTCTAATTCAGAGGTAATCCATTTTTGACACACAGAAATATCTAATTTTCGCTGCTAGTGCTAAAGACATTCTCGTTTGACGGACACACCAAGTAGATCAAAGTAACACCCTTGCTGTTTGTTTAAATTCCTGAAGATTGAGATTTTTCGTGGAATTCAGAATTCAGAGTTTTGGTGTTGCGATAGTATCACTGTAGTTTCACAACATCGCGAATTCAATTAATATAATGAGTTAAAGAAAAATTCATACTAGCAAATATCTAAATATGACAGCCGCGTTCTAATGAGATGACGAATGGGTACTACCCTTGATATGTACCACTAAGTGAACAAGAAACTTCTAATCCGGTGGTACTCAATTTTTGACACACAGAAATATCTAACTTTCGCTACAAGTGAGTGTAGGTGAACACACAATATTTAACGGTAAATATACAGACTTATTCGCTGTACATATTCGCCTTAAGCTTTTGTCTAACCTTAATACAACTTTTGGCCATTGAGTTACTTGGATTAACAGCCGGATCATCCTGATCCTTTCCTGTTCTTTGCTGCATTGATACCGTAGATATCCTAATCACACTCCTGTCAAAACCATCATCGGATGCCTCGCTGTTATATATCATACCGAGGCTGTGTTTCCCCACCATATCTGTCATGTAACTTGTTTGCCTTGTAGCATTCTTCTCCTTTCGGAGAGTCAGTTTAATCACATCTGTCTGGTCCGTGTTTTCATCAGGAATATTTATCATTACTTTTCGAAGGGCATTACCATTGTCTACCTGGTTTTTCTTATTGTTTTTATAAACACGCCCCGCTCCCCTAAATGCCGGGTTTGGTGCATGTCCTACAGAATTGTAATTATCCATGCTAAGTGACATCTGGTGAGTGTGTTTTTCCGTTTCCGGTTTATGACGTAATATTACATGTGAATTGTTGTTGTTATCATTATTAACATTAAATACAGTGCGGAGAATAACAGAATCGTCGTCCTGTTCCGTCTCGGAATATTGGTCGTCCGGAAAGTCGTTCACGGTTGGAAGTCGGATAGTTCCATTGGTTGTGGTGCTGGAGCGGCGAGTATCTTCCATATCAGAGTCGGACATGTTTCTGTCGGCAAGTTCCTCCCGGTCCAGCCGCAACTGGTGTTTCTTTGCCTTCCTGTGCACCACGTTTGCCGTTCTTGGAACCTTGACTTTATCTGACCTGGAACCCACAGTGTAGTCTACATCACTGTCAATGCCACTTTCAGAATAACCCTGTCGGGCACTATCAATATAGTCTCGGTCTAGTGAAGCCCGGTATTTAATTTCCGGTTCGAAATCTTCTTTTGGAATAACAATGACCTTTTCCCTCTTAAATTTACTTCGATGCGTCGAGAATTCCTTTTTCTCGACTACAGAATCTGCGGAAGAGAACACAACAGGGGATGGCTTTGTCTCGTTTCCCGGTACCACTGCCAAAAAGCGGTATAATTTAAACTCTTTTGAGCGTTTGTCAGATCGTTTGACCCTGTGGGATCGCTCAATCATAGATTTAGCTGTGGACGTAGTTTTTGAACCGGATGCATGTTTGTCCGAACTCTGAGCCAGAATAGGTGTGCTCTTTGTACTAATAGCTGTGGTATTGGATACCCGACTCACAGCAGAGCCACGAATATTCCTTCGGGAATTGTCGTGCATCACTACTTTTTCAAACAGTTGCTGTTCGTATTTAGCACCAGTATCTTGTTTGTAAACTGTTATATTTCTTGCAGTTCTAGATGCGTCCAAATACATCTGTTTTTCGGAAGATTTGTTCAGTTGAACTTGAGGACGTTGAGACTTTACGGGCACTTTTTGGTTTTGTAGAAACTGTATGACCTGTTTCATGTTAAGCTTGTCCGGGTCGTGGTCGTTAATTGGAGTCGTACTCCGCGGAAGTTGATTAACGTTCAATTTATACTTTTTCTTTTTCTGTGCTTGGTCCTTTGCGTAACTGTCCCTAAACCGCTGTAGTTCCACCTCCCCTGGGGTGGGTTTGATTCCCTTGACTTGTTGGTTGAAAAAATATCTAGCAGATCCGATGGAAGGTTTAGGTAAGACTCTGTGAGTTGGAGTCTCGGACGGCGACACCACTGAGGTCCGTGTGTCTGTACTTGTAGCACTCGTCCTTCTAGAATGTTTTCCACTTGTATCGCCCAAAGAGCACGCACTGGGGTCCCCATGGAACTGGGCATTAAGGTCCTGTGAATTAAACATCATGTAGTCCCCGTCCTCTTTGTAATAATTAACATTGTTGTTATTTTTGTCATGTCCTAATTTATGACGACCTCCATCAAAGTCCTTTTTTCCCAAAGAATTTGAAGTTTGTTTCCCACTCGACAGCACGCTCACGTCCTTGTCGTTTGATGCCTTTTTGTGATGTGAGGAATGGTTAACGCTAGGACTGCTTCTATCCTGAAGAGAGTTCCCAGAGCTGACTCTCGTAACTGCTAGCACGGGAAAACTCCGCTTTTGTGTGTTCGCCTTCGATTGATCAGAGTACAGCTTATCTTTACCGGTTGACGTGCGCACTTTATTGTTAGCGAATGGCACCAGTTGGATAACCGTCGGTTTCCATGTATCACTCATTAGAACAGCTGTGCTCATTGTTGATTTGATTGGCTGTGCATAATACACATACAAATTACATCAAATTATTTTCTTCTTTATTGCTCTTCTACGTAGCCCGTGACAGCTCAACCTGTACTGCTTGTCATTATCGTCGGTTCATTGGAGTTCGATCGACGTGGAACGCACACAATGTCAACTATCTATTAGTAAGACATGTTACCATCCTTCATTTTTTTTACGAAGGAACATACCTATCGTTGTTGGAAACGAAATGTTAAAGAGTTGGTATAAATCACTGCAGATTAGTCGTGTGACAAGATCCACTGTTGGTCTGCTTTATACACAAGATGGATAGACCCCGGTTGTCCGGAGAGCTGTTGAAGTTTATCGCTGGACACTCTGACATGCTTTTAACAAGCCCTAAGTGTTTCCGGCTCATTTTGACCCTGACCAGTAGATCGATATGGCTCCGAGTACCTGGAATGGACAAGACACTCCAATTAATGACACATGTAGTTACAGATGAGTGGACGCTTATGAAGAGGACCACCCGCAACACGACACCAAACGAGGTCCATTATTGTGGATATAGTATCAAATAAACATTAACCAATAAAAGAACGTTTGGACAATATTTGAAACTACCACTTAAAGAAGTAAAATGACTTTTGACGACTTGATGTTACGATGTTTATGTTTATGTTGACATTTGCAAATAGCTTTGTCTTTGATTTCTATCAGTAGAAACATTTCATTCAGTAACTGTCAATAAATACGCACATCGTAAATTGGAAAAACAATCGCTTTTTATGAAACGATCCGTTTAGTTTTACCTTCATCTTTAATTGTTTAAGAACCTTAAGTGCCTTGCTTGTTAGGTTTTTAACAGGTGTTTCCTTACTTGGTAGTCTAGTGATTGCTTTGAATAGAACTACCAGCCCATGTAACCATGTTTCGTCACAATTGAAAGTAATGTTTTTATTAACACTTTCAACGATTTCACATACGATACGAATTATAAAGAAATCAATCGGAAAACCTGTTAATTACAGTAACGTTATTATACACTTGATGATACACTTGACGTGCTCAAATATGGTGTATGTTGTGTAATAAGTTTGAGTTGATAATTGGTGGACGTGTTTGTAAAACCAGATGGTAAGTTGGTCTTTGTAGTTTGTTAAGGATAAGTTGTACGTCATTGACGACAATATATGTATACAAATTTGCTCAGCGCTTAATTACCCCTCTCTACTTCTTTTACACGCCAGAACCGTTATATTAAGTATATATCCCATGAGAAATACATGACACTTATACGGTATAGTGTCAGGACAAATGACAGTCCTACATGATTTTACCAATAGGTATTGTCAGCAAAAGTTATAGATTGAATACAGTAAAGGGTGATTTAATAAAGGTGTGTTTGTCGTCTGTTAAGGCAATCTTTATAACGTCATTTAAGTTATACAATTTACCTATGCGTTCTGTCCTTTTGAGAGATTATCAACAAGCCGGAAGTCGAAATAGAATTAAATGAGTGCCATATTTAAAAAAAAAAAATATATAGCAACAGCTCTTAAGTAACTAAAAATTATCACAAGAAATAAACCAAGGAAGCGCCTACAATAAACTTAGTAAGTTGATACAAAAATAGCCAAACAAAGATAAAATGAATCCTTAACTGTACATAGAGGTTCATACTAAGGTAATACCACGAAAATAACGAAATGGTACCGGAATCGCTGCACCTTTTAGTTTATAGACCAATCCTTGCTTTGCAGAGGTGAATCTGAAGCGTGTTTCACTATACATTTTATTGATAAGTCATTATTTAAAACCTGTTAACATATTCTCATCTGTCAGTGATAGAGCTAAAATATTAAAGGGAATATTTATGTAGTAAAGAAGCTTGAAGCTTAAAACGACCGATGATCAGGTAAAAGTCTTAAAGCACATTACAAGGAACGACATACATAGGCTGACTCTGATGAGGCGATAAGCTAACAAGGTATCGACATATTTATTTACATTGAGATAGATCGATATGAAACTCTTGACACATGGTATTGCATTACTTAACCTATCATCGATTTTAACATCATGTGAAATAGGGACGAATTAAACCCAGATAAAAGACAGTCTGTCAAAAGTTGGGGCTTAAAGCATATCCTTGTGAGTTACAATTTAATTCATTTTCTTGTAAGTCAACACTGCCGGCATACCACCTCAACAAAACTAGATCTAGCTCACACACGTGTGAGTAAAACTAGATCTAGCTCATACACGTGCTAGATCTAATCAAGACATAAATCGGTAAAACAAGATTTAATCAAGATGCATGCAGGTAAAACTGTTTTGGTTCAGGTACGAGGTATGCAGGTTTGGATTTTGTTCAGATATATGAAGGTAAAAGCAGATCTTGATCGGACACATGCAAGTAAAACTGTATGTATTGCTTTAATACAGGTAGATAAAACACTATCTAGCTCTTGTATATAGAGGTAAAACTAGATGTAGCTCACAAGAATGAAGGTAAAAGAGTATCTACCTCAGGCACTTGTAGATAAAACGAGTTATGTCCTTGTCGCAATAAGTATCATTAGCTTTGTAACGTTAATATTTGCCCACTTCCTCTTAATAAGTAGTAATATAGAAATTGATCAAGCGTATGTGGATGTTTCTGTATGTGGTATTTATGTTATAAATATTGCTACAACTAGATAAACTCATCGATAAGTATACATTATCAGTGCTGGGGACAAATGAGAGGGCTAAAACTATCAATTGGTACCTACTTAAAAACCATTAGCGTTGTCTCGTCAAAGAAGATGCACCAAGTTGCATCTCATGTTTGTTCCACTTGACCATATTTATTATGCACATGAAACACCCTACACCCGTTTAGTACTCATCCAAAAACATGTAGGGAGTTTTCAAGTTAAACAAACCTTAATCCTTTACATGGGTTTTGTTCTGGTTAAAGCCCTGTGTGTTTTCACAAATCAAACTACTGCAAGCATATGCTCGTGTCTGGCACTTGTTGAAGAGCTATAGGTGAGTGCACTGCAAATAAGGGAATTCAAGAACGTTGAGGGTTTATTGATTAGCCAATCCCTTGAAAAACAAAACCCTCCCTAACAACTAATGCTAAAATCAATAATCAAATAACAGCACAAATTCGTATATGAGAAAGGCAGTTATGATGTATCGTTTCAGATAAAAAGGACAATATTCGTCTCAATGCAAAAAACAGTTTCAGATACTGTCACTGAACTCAACAGAAAAGAAAGGGAATCTGGTTGTATATCACCGAGCTTATCAACGATTCGTAATAAGTATTCAGTATACCACTCTTCGCCTTTGTATAATGCTGTTGTAATCTGATATATCTTATACCGCAAAACAAAAGATGATAAATTTAAGACAGTCTGGCAAGATACTATGTATAAGGCAAACTGAGCATTTATTTTTACAAGCTACTAAGTCAACAGATTAGTACATGAACATGCAAATTTACTAGACTTACGTTTATACTATTTGATATGCCGTGTGTTTTACTATCCCAAACCTATATCACCACAAGAAGCGTGCAGTCACTGGACACAACCAGCAGGACATACTCAGTAGGGCCATCCAAGTCCAGGAGTTACAGACGGACACAGATTCTCACAGATTTACACCACACAGCCAACACGGGGCCGAAACTGAGACGCAACAGTACAAAGGTTTTAGTTTGATTTGAGTTCCAATTAAGACGAACCAATCCTTTTAATGGTCGTACTTTTACAGTGTTAGTGTATGGGTAGGCCTCGACGTCAAAGGGTTGACGATTTCAACAAGACGTGTGATATTACACTTTCAGAGCTATTTAATATCAGTATGGTTTAAAGAGCACAGTATATGGTATACGATATTGTCGTGTTGGTATACCGATCTGATAAGCGAGAAACATAAGTATGTTTATATATAATCCCACTTTGTAAGACCCCACTCCATGCACATGAATACGAATGTGATTTCAACACCTGTAGATTGGCCATCAAAGTTAGCATACCTGTCTAACAGCCAATTTCGGTATGAATGCATGCACGTGTGAATTGACACACCCTATAGGTTACCTTCACTAAGCCAGTGTTTTCGTGTTAAAACGAGCGTTTAAATGCACCCTTAGTGAAATCCATACAGGTAAATTAAATCTCAAACAGTTACGTACCTAAGATGATGTCTAAATTGCATTATGTACTCTGTACACAAACAGTCGTCTACCTATTAGCGGGGATATTTCCATGTGGTTTTCTTGCTTCGTTAGTTCCATGAATATCTAAACAACATCGTACCACTCTGTCTGATATTGGAAATTTTCATATATGTATTGCATGAACACTGAATTCTATTTTTTCATAATTCGATAAAGAATTAATTTATTCTTAATCAGAATTTGTAAAACAGTCACGTACGTCTTGTCAGCTGTCCCCATGAGTGTAGAGAATGGGAGCGGTATGGCTTTTAGTTACTAGGGGACAATATTGTGAGTTCCGAAGTGTGCTGATAAACAGTATAAGAAGAACCTCAACACTGGGAGTGTTGTGGCATGAAGTCATTGTATGTGTTTATTTGCAACTAAGTTTAAGAGAAAATGAAAGAGAAATGTCCTCATAGGAAGAAGAGAAACAATGAAAAGCACTTTTATAAAAAGAAATGGGTTCATAAGCTTTATCACCCATCAAATCAGTTGGAGCTTCACTTCAGTATATTAAACAAGATATCGTGTTAAAAGAAAATTGAATGAAATCATCTTTCTTTTCAATGACATATGTTCAAGGGGAAAACATCGATGTATGAATAGACAAGCTCAATTTAAATCACAGTCAAACAAACATTGGTTTCGTGTTCACCTCATACTAGTATTCATATATAAAAGATAACCACGAAATAAAGGACACTAATTTCATTTCCTTTATTCTACTGTAAACTACGACAGCGAACGTTTCTCAGATTTCTGATGAAAACATGTATATACTTATCCATAGTTTAGTTTTACAAACGAGGTTTCTGCACAGAAATATTTGTCTTTAGTCATTCCTAATTGTTTATCACGTGATGGTATACTAAACATACATTATTAAGACTATGATCTATTTCGTATTAAATGGTGAAAACTTCTTTCAAATATATGTTATATATAGCGCATGCACATATGATTGCTTTTGAATTGTGGTGAATGGGAATGAATTAATGTGAATTGAATGGCATGGAATGCCTTTAAGTAATTTGGAGAAAACTGACGTCCTAACGATTCTACTGGAATCTAAATGATGACGCGTTATCTGCTTAATCGCTTCCTACATAAATCTCTTTAGAACAGACACTTTTGAAATAAGAGTTTATAATATTGCCCGTAGCTGACCCTTGCGTCGATCTTTACAGAGATGTACATTAAGACGAGCCCCTAATAGCTACAAATTTGTCAGGCAGAAGATAGTTATACTTCGTACCAGGGATATACCTCTTGTTGTAAGCTTGAATTACAGTAGACAAATCTGTATCTCAGATAGAAAAAAAAAAATGCAATTATCAAAGGATGAATAGCTATAATCAAAACAATAGAGGGAGTATCAGCACTAACCATGTGGTTTTAAAACTGTGTTGTCCGATGAAAAAATAACCTGTCATGATTCACGTTGAAATAAATGATTTATAATAGAGTAATAAGGTTATATATTTGATTTATACAGTAACAGTGATAATGATGCCCTTGACTTTTTGTTTGATGTTTCATTTCTTATTCTCGAAATATGAAGCAAAGAAAATCATCTTTCTTTCATGATTCTACAACAGAATGTAAATCTAAATCTGAGACTATTTACATTAAAGATATCTGTCAATAACACTGCATTTCATGGATTAGGTTCTACTTTCAATACACGTTGTACCACGTATAGTGGTAGGTAGGTCAAGCACAAGTCTCTCAATATATAACAATGAGGTATTCTATGGTATTCTGTTTGTCCAGTATTATGGGAAATCTATGTTGCTCTCTGGACAACCAATACAAAATTATTAAAGATATTAAAACTATAGATCCTCGAAAGAATACACACATTGAAGCTTCAAACACTTGAACTCAAGAGCAGTGTTAGTATGGCCTCCCTCGGTACAATCCAAGCAATGACCCATGTTAATGAGCTTATACATGGGCCAGTGTTTACCTGTCTCAGCGTTAAGTGTTATCCTGAAGATTTGCAGAGGTTTTAATGGATTTAATTTCATATAGCAAACGATTTTCATATTATGCTATTAACCAGGTAATTGTCAAATCTGATATCAATATTGATATATGTGATCCCATCACCAAGAAAGCTTTTTAAAGTACCTTGTTCACCCCTACTGGGATAAATGGTATCATCCCATGTTGACTATCAAGTAATAGGAAAAAGTCTCGGTATTAAATATTTACAATAGAAACAACCATTTCCGAATACACAATTGCTGCCACGTGAATAGTATCTTTGATGTACACGAACAATTAGCTTAATAACAGATAAATGTAATCGAATATCAGACTCCAATATGAAGTGATGGTCTCAAGCTAACACCGAAAAGTCCGTAGGTAAGCAAATAGGTATGGATCAAGTTGTATTAATATCCACTAACTTCTCAAATAATAAGTAGGTACATATTTCCAGTTTATTTTCCTTGTAATTAGTGATATCACACAACATATATATCATGCCATTTTTTATATATATTTTTTATGATAATAGTTTACAAGCTTGTATAGCGCCCTTAAACAAATCAGTAAAACGCTAAGTATGAATAGATCGCAAACTATGACATTCGAGTTTCAAAACAAAGAAATGCACAGTAAAAATCTAACGTTCCTTAAGGAGTGACCAGTTTAAAAGCAGTTTTTTAAGAAACCGTCGTGAAAACAGCTAACGAAAAAAAAAATCCAGGTAATTGATTACTGTCGATCTTTACAGTTCCGGTAGGTAATGCACTTATATTGCTGTCCGATACACTGACAGAAATAACAGTCTGGTAGGTATACAATGTAGACGGGCAACATCGATTAGTAGCATAGCCAAAGTACATACGTTTCTGTCTGTATGCACTTACAGCTAATACCATTAATTAAAAGACATTCAGTCATTACTATTAATGGCAATGTCAGTTAACGTTATGCTTACTTGTATGGTTTGTCATGTACAAATTGTAAAATGAATTAGAATTTGAAATAGATTATTTGTCATGTAGAGTTAAGCGCAGCAGGAAGAAGAACGCATGTTTATTTCATTTTATATACGAGTTCATGAACAAGTGGGCCTGCAGCTTCCGATACCAGATATATATAGTCGAAACACTACGGATTCGACAAAGTATATATAACTGTACTCCATGTTCACATTTCCTTATTCAATTCGGTAAATATAGGTTTATTAACAGCAGCGAAATAGGTACTCTTAATGTAATTCTCATTCTCATTATACGCTGTAAACGTTGGTTAACACAGCCAAACTCGTGCGTGATGATTTATCACTTTGGTCAGAATAAATCTTGGTTGTATTAAACAAATTTATATCATTTATATCATTTAATGTAAATGTCTCAGTTAACGAACATCAAAACCTTCATATATGACTATATTTTATCGTACTAGGAGTGATACGAATATATAAAACAAAATAAAAAACAAATTGGAAATGTAAACAGTAATATTTTCGATCGATACGAAAGAAAGGCATTTTCAAGCCACATAAAACAAGTAAGCGTTTCCTAACCACATATGTATCATGAAATCGAAAAATCGAATCACCGATGATCCAGGAAAACAGTGAATACGGTCAAGGTATGCACTGAAATATCATATATGGAAGCTAGGCCAGGAAAAGGACCGGATAAAAGCTTGACGCATCTTGAGTAGAGAAATGGGTTTAAAACAACAGTCCGTTTTACAGGTAGCAATGTATCGAAATTTAGTTCCTAATTTGCCCTCTTGTGTAGACGCTGTCGTACGTTTCTTATTGTTCTCGTTTATATAATGCAATTAACTTGATTTCCATTGTACTTTTCCAAAAAGTTACAACAACATACAGTATATAACATGCAATAAATGAACAGTTTAATTCCGTAGGTCAACTATATACCATAAACGTCGATCACTTTGAGTTCATTACATTAACTACAATTTGCATGATAAAATATACGAAACTACCATTGCATTCCATCCATAATCTATAACATAGACTAACTTACCTCGAAAAAAAAATACCTGAATGTGCAGGTCTAAAAGAAGTTCCACACTTGTTGCAAGTAAATTTCTGATTCGAAAAGCCCTTGTTGTATGGACACTGGTAGCCAATACATTGTCAGAAATAATGTTTCGACTTTATGTAGATGTCGACCTATTTGATATGAACATGTTACCTTGGCCCACTATGGATAACTCTAATCAAGGGAACATTGGAATACACATCAGACTCTCGCCAAAGTTCAACACAATCTCATGAAAGACTTTCAGCGATACAATCTCTTCGTGTTCCGTTTGACAAGTTTATCAGGAGAAAGTCTCCTATCGACATGCTTCTGTACAGTGCCAATACTGTGTCCCTCCAAATACCTCAACAGAAAGCGATATTTTAATCTTACGAAATAGTAAAAGAAATTACAGAAAAAAATAGTAAAGATGGCTATCAATTCGGATATATTACTGTAATGAGTGAAAACTAATGAAACATGCACTAGTTCACAATCCTGGTTACTGATTGTCATGATCCGTAGGTACGTTGATTAATTGATTTCGAGCAAATGTGAACAACACATGACTGATTTATCACATTAACGGTAATATAATTGATAAAGTTATAGAGACCGTAGTGAAGATAATATGTATATTGAAATATAGAAGTAATTAGTAAGGGAATACATGCAGTCTGTGTTAACACATTAGTGATATCATTTGAATAAACATTACAAAGACTTCAAAACGACTTCTGATAAAACATCATGGCTAGTAACAAGGTCAAAATGAGAAAAAGTAGAAACCCAATGCCATGCCAGACATGCACCGTTATGTGCCA